TTTGACAAACCATACAAATTTCTAAACTATAATTAATTATTACTTTTTTTATTCTGCAGTAAGCAAGCCTTATAATTAACTATTTCAATTGAGAATAAAGCCAATAAATATGCTGTTAAAAATTTACCAAAAATTATGAGTGTATTTCATACTAAACTTTAATAACATCACATAGCCCTCATTTTATATCTTAATTTCCATAAATCGTGTTACAAATGAGGTGGGTTTTTTTAACTTGAAAATATCTAATAAAAAATAAAATGCATTCAAACATTGCAGAATTACGTCCCTTTGCTACGTTCCCTTAACTTAAAGATCCTGTATGTTTTGCGATTGAACTTGCTACTGTGTGTGTACCACACTTGCAAAAAAATATATATGTAAATAATTATGCAAATAAAACAATTGTCAAACATTGAAGAATGTGTAAAATTTGTACTCCAAATATTTGTGCACATTATATTTAATTTATACGTTATATGCATTCATTTCTTATTGGAAAATTTGACTTAAATTTTATAGAAAATCAATTTCTAATTACCTCTCTTTACTTACATGAAATGTTAAATTCGGAAATATCTTTATAAATAATGCTTATTGGAACTTACAATATTGACAAATCTTAATTTGAGCATCATATTTATAAAATAAAACCATGAAAAAATTGTGTTACAGGATCTTTAAATATTAAGCACTGATAAAAGTACAATAAGCTGCCCGCGAACACAGGCCTTGTCGAATGAAATTTTCACTTTTTCACAATCGGGATTCATTTATTGATAAAACCTATACATGTACATGTATTTAAAAAATAGAGCTGTTTTAAAGATACCAACGGTAGAAAATGAAAACATTTCTCATTACAAGTCAAAGAGAAATATACATGTAATGACTGAAAAATGAATGAACAAAGACTCGGTCATACAAGTTAAAACTTTACAATGATATAAACTAACATTATAATTTAGTCATACAGGTTATAATTTTACATTGATACAAACTAACAATATAATTTAGTCATACAGCTTATAATTTTACATTGATACAAACTAACATTATTATTTAGTCATACAGCTTATAATTTTACATTGATACAAACTAACATCATAATTTAGTCATACAGGTTATAATTTTACATTGATACAAACTAACATCATAATTTAGTCATACAGGTTATAATTTTACATTGATACAAACTAACATTATAATTTAGTCATACAGCCTATATTGCACAATGATAGAAACTAACATTTTAATTTAGTCATACAGCTTATAATTTTACATTGATACAAACTAACATCATAATTTAGTCATACAGGTTATAATTTTACATTGATACAAACTAACATTATAATTTAGTCATACAGCTTATATTGCATAATGATAGAAACTAACATTTTAATTTAGTCATACAGCTAATAATAATAATAATTCAGTGCTAAAAGTTGCACAATGATTCAAAATGGTATTATAATTTAGTCATACAGGTAATAAATGTACAGTTATACAAACTAATATTATAATTTAGTCATACAAGTTATTATTGCACAATGTTACAGACTACCAGTGTCAATCATTGTACAACTTTTAGCACTGCATTATGTATAGGTTAGAGTGCATATTGGGTGTTCTTCGTAAATAAGAATGCTAAAAAGGAGCGGAGCTTGCGAAGCGACTCTTGAAGTTTACTCCTACTAATCAATATTTATGCATCATGTTTTTTCCGTACACGCACATGTATATCGTCACTACGGCATAGAATTAAAAAAAAGAGGTTCATTGAAATGAAAACAGGCAAAATAACAGTAAAAATGTTTTATTACTCACGGAGCCAGTATCATTTTATAATTTCCAAATAAAAAGTTCACTTATTCCAACAAAGTATGTATGTAATATTTCTTACTTTTTATGTAAATATTACGACTCGTGCCGCTGCAAAACCGAAAGTAGGGTGTTTTTATTAATCTTACATTTATTTTTGACAATTTACTGCCATTTGTCCGAAGATGATATGTATATGAACATAATAAATATGTATGATGCATATAAAATCAAGCTACAGGTTCATTTCTGCCCGAAAAATATGTCGAGGTGACGGGCGAGGCAAGACATGTCGATTTTTTGTAGCTTATTGTGAAGTTGCAGTACATGAAAATCGGGCACATGACGAATCAGCACATAAATAAAACATTCTAGTGTTCCGTGGTATACATCTTTTCTACGTGTCATACATTCTTTCCTTATTACAATGAATTTTTACTGCATTGTTATCCATCGCTGGTTTGTTTTTAAAAGAGAATGACCTGTGTATGTTCAAAGAGGGTACCGTTTGAGAATACAATGTATTTCGCAAAGACGGTATGGATATGCACCGTGATATTGTGATTTACGGAATAAGCTATGCAAAACACGTGACCCGAAAATGTGTACCGCTACCTCTTCCAAATATGGTTATACACATTTAGGCTATCGTGTGACGTCACGCAGTGTGTTGGGCGGAAAAAATGGGCGGAGCACTAAGCCGGTTAGAGTGCATATTTGATGTTCTTCGTAAATAAGAAAGCTACAGTCGCTTCGAAAGCTCCGCTCCTTTTTAGCTTTTTTATTTACGAAGAACACCCAATATGCACTCTAACATATACACAAGAAAAGCATTAATGCAAAGCATCAAAGGGCGTCCAAGCAAGAAATGCAGAAAGTGAAGATGAATTAGTAGACATATGATGTCAAGATATTCTTATAAACTTTTCAATGGTTAATTGGGTTTTACCAGAATGAACGGACGAAAGACATTGTTCATTATGAACTTTGATTGGCATGCTAGAGATTAGAATATTACTTGTTATTTCTTTATGATCGTGATTATTAATAGCAACGGATATACATGTATACAATCATTTATAATCCATATGTGTAACGCATGATCAACATCACAATTATGTAATCACTATTAGCGATTAAGGCATCTGTTCACACTTAGTAAAAATATGACACTGTTTATATTACCATGTCATGTTGAGCATTATTGTTTATTATAAAATAATTGTAATATCTATTTTAATAAAAAAAATACAGATTTTATGAATATTGTTTTCCTCTCTTTTTTGTGTTTTTATGTGCTATTTTCATACTGAGTTTTTTTACGTTTACTACTCTTTTTTTATTAAAATTGTAAAATAAATTTTAATAATTCAATTGTCATATTGACCGACGATTATATAAGTCAAAACTTAACTGGAAAAGTCAGTAAATTATGGTTAATCTTTCAATATATAATATTGTTTATTCTTAAACCATGTATATTTACATTTGTATTTTTCTTTGTCATTTTTTAAATTATCAATCAATTAAATAATTAATAAAATCTAATTTGTAACTTTGAATAATTCTTCGGCATCTTTACTAAACACGAATAACAAATTAAATAAAATGTTTCAAAGTTGATAGTGTCATATTAAAACCATAAAAATGTACCTTTTTTCATAATTACTGTACATATTTATTGTTTTTATCTCATAGAGATAAAATGAAATATGCTATTGTTGTTGTTGGGTTTTTTTTTTCGAATTGTATGTTTATGTATAATAATAATCAATAAATTTGAGAGTTGATCTATGTTTATTAATTATTGTAACCAAACTAAGTGACAAACATTCATTTTGGAAAAAAAGCTTATTTATCTGTAAAATATCTGTTCTGTTCTGTAACGATATCAGACATCTACTCCAAAACCGGGAGAGACCGGACAATAAACGTGTGATACTATTCGCCGGTCGCTAGAATCTCGGTCAAAATAGACCGGGAGAGACCGGAATTACCGATAGGAGTACATCCCTCCAATCGCAACTACTCGGCCCTTTCCGTCAGTCTTCGGATAAGGACCTCGAACACAATAGTATGAATACACAGAACGGATGCGGTATTCCGGTCTAACCTACGCTAAGAAACTAAACATGTAAACAAATAGTAATTTCATGCTGGGAGTTGTTGACACGTTTATTTCCAATATATGTAGTAAAAGTCCACCTAAAATAAGTGAATTAATAGGTACAAAAGCAAACAATACATTATTTATATATTTACTAATATGGCTGTAAACCGAAAGTACAAAAAACCAACCTGTTGATATTTGGTTGGATTTATTTAAAATTGAACATCAGTGGGCATATTTAAATTACAAATTGCCGTCAGACATATTTTCAAGCATAAGAGTACCGGAACAGACATTAGATGTCAAATATATACAGTCATATTACATTATCTCTGTTTCTGTTTACATCTGTAAACCACGTGGTAGAACTACTTTCAATCCGTATTGTTTCCGAGGTTAATATTGTAGATAATAGCCGAGGCAGTTCCGAATGTACATCCCTCTATAAATAGATTTTCGGAATATTTAGTTCATCAACTCATCATTCTATTTTAACATACCATGATAACCTACTGTGTACTACAAAATGATAAATAAAAAAAACCGAAGAGACGGAAAAGGTTATTGCATTTGAAAATGTTTGCATTGCGAAATCCTCCAGTTCGCTATTTATTGTACTTATCGCGACATTTCATTTTTAATTAATAATAATCAAGCACCCTCATACCGATCGGAATGATCGGCTTTTATTATGACCGACTAAAAGGCTCGAGAAGGTGCTGTCGCCCTTTCACAAAATCTGATTTCATTCCATAAAGGGGCGCCGCGCTTCGGCGCGGTCCGCCAATAATTCAGTGCTAAAAGTTGTACAATGATTGACACTGGTATTATAATTTAATCAAAAAAGTTGCTGTATATGTTTTGGTTGATTCACACTAGCAATATTATTAAGTCATACATGTTATAACTGTACAATAAGTTAAACTAAAAAAGCTTTTTAATGACCAAAAAGGTTCAATAAGCCTTAGCCTTGAATCAAACATATGTACTGATGTTCAAAACTTAATATCCATCTTGGCATCTTTTTTACAAACAAAATGGAATTTTGTAGTCACATGTAATGTCATACCATAGATCGCCGGAGTCCATCCCATATAAGCACAATTCTCACGAGTACCTCCATTGGGTTGACCGGTACGAAAGTTTCTGAAAATATAAACAATATTTACTTTTATAAAAATAAATTTTCTTTCTTATTTTCACGTTTGATGTTACATACTGATCATGAAATTCACAAACAGACTAGCGCGTATGTAAGTATAAAGAAGAGTAATCCTTGTATATAGGTTTTATATTGGTATTCACAACTAAGTTTAAACTTTTTTTTCAGAACATACACACAATGGAATAAACGTCTAATCAATTACATACAGTCTGGAAATGGATCAGAACTTTTAACTTAGAAGCTATCGTCGCTTCCTTCTACTAATACATGGCAACATTTTCTACATGACAAGTGATTTCTTTACCACATGGTTTCGCATAGTTGAGAAAATAAAGGTGAATATAGCTTAGGCTTTTCAAAACAGCGCATTTTTATAGGAAGACCATTTAGTGTATGATTCACAAGAAAACAATTAATGTGCCTAATAAATTTTGAGTAGGCTACTGGATAAAAATAGCAAACCTTTCAGAAGTATAAAGTCGTGATTAAACTCTTTCGACCATATATATAGTCAAATTTTATTTATTATGCTAAAATACTAAAACAATATTTAATAACTTCTACGGACTCTTTTTATGGAATCGATTTTCCTTACTTCGAATCGATACATATATATATTATCGTATTGACGGTTTAGAATAGACGATGAATAGATATCGCGACTTCCGATTACAATTACGTCTTAAATGACAAAATAAAGTTCAAATTCAGTTTAACATTTAATGCTTAATTGTTTTGAAAAACAAACATCACTAGTAATAATGCATAAGTATTTAGATATTTTCAGTCTGTTAAAAAACATGAGAATAATGTCAATTATGTAAAAATCTTCAAAATGATGTCGTTATGTTTACAAGGCAACCGTCATCGAAAATGAGTCAAAAACTGCGGACGTCTTAGCTGTAATAAGCGGTCACCTTTATATACCGTGTGTATGACTGACCGCAAGAAATTTTATTATAAGTACCCAGTCTATCGCATGACTGTTAAATATCATCAATCATATCTAAAAAAATCATTACTACGGGAAACAAAGTAAAACAGTACAAGGTAAACTTTTACTAGTAAAATAATTATCAATTATTGAGTACCGCTGAAGTCGGTGTTAGTGGTTGTGAGGGATATTGCACATTTTTTATAAACCCTTATGTTCAGACCCAATCCAACCGAGTTTGCAATTTTCATGTAATTATATTGTGATTAATGATTGCGAGGATCAATCTTTCTCCAGATAGTTATCAAATATACGTACGTGAATGATTCAGGTTTACCAGTTCTTTCTGATATCCAAGTACCCTCCTCTATCTCGTCAGAATAACCGATCCACAAACTGAAACCATAAAAACGTTTTAACCCCTTGATAAAAGTATTCTCTGCTTCATTTTCAATGTCAGACACAGTTGCTCCTAGACGCTTACAATGGGCACGAGCTTCACTGAACGTTTTTGTCTCGTCAACATACAAATAGCAATATGATGAATATTTTGTCCAGTCCGATAGACATGTATAATCAAAATTTACCAATTTTAAAAGTTTAGCTTGAGTTTCTTTTAAAGCTTCTATTTCTCTCTGCTGGGTACATATCAACTGCTCTGTTGTGTCACTCTTAAGAGACACTTCCCTCATATCTTTTACATTATTTGCGATTATTTCGTCCAGTTTACTCAGTTTTGTTTGGATTTTATCATCAATTTTTGCATTGATCACTTCTAGATTGCTTTCCATTTCTTCTTTGTCATCTTTGAGTTCGTTTTTGAGCTCTGAGAAGTTCTGATTTAGCAGATCAGTTTGTTCATTCACTAGACCCGTAAGTTTTTCCACTTGATTTCTTGTCCAGTTTTTCTCCCTTTCACTTTTGCCTGTCATCTCAATTTTGAACTTCGAGTAACTTTTAGTTAACTGGTCATTTTGTAAATGAATCTGATCGGTTAGGTTTTCAAAGTGTTTTTCTAACTGATTTGTATGCTCTGTTAACTGAATAGTAAGATTTTTCATTTGATTTCTTGTCCATTGTTTCTCTCTTTTAAGTCCTAATAGTACCAGCACCTGGCTTGACTTTAGATGTTCAACACGTTTTGCAGAATTGGTTTGCTCCTTTTTTCCTGTCTGTTGATCCATTATGGGACACATTTGATCCTTGAAATTTATCATAGAATTGTTAAGTTCATCGAAATTTTGTTGCAATGACACAAACATTTCTTTTGCCAGTTCGTTGTCAGCACTTACTCGTGATTCAACAACGCTCATTCTTTTCTCAACGATATCAAGTCTTCCTCTTAAAGATTTTGCATCTATTATTAAAACACCTGATAAAAATAAGAGGCATTTCACTGTATTTCCCATTACATTATACATCGTTTTCTTTATGTTTACTTTCAGATAAAAGTCTTGAAAATACTAAAGTATAATGAAACGTTTAGTCTTAGAATAACAGCTTGTTATAAACTATCAAATACACTTTTGAGAAGAAATCAACTATGAGTTAGCATTCGCAGTTCGGCAATGTTTGATGCTATCTGGTTTTTTTAGACACATATCCTGGCAACATTACAGAATACCGTATTTCTCCTTAAAATCTCCCCACCCCTACCCGGTCAGGACAATTCCCGCCATGTTCTATTTATTTGAAACTTCAATATTCATTTAAAACTAACATGGTTTGCAATGACAAAAAAAGAAATATACAGTAAATTGATGAAAGTAATTTTGCATTTGTTGTATGTGTACACCTGCAGGTTTTAGACAATAAGAAAACGTCTAAATTTATTCTGGACATATATTTACCAAAGTCGTTGTCATCTACTAAAGACACTTGGAGTGTAGACAAGTTTGTACAGAATTTCATAACGTTTTAAAATTATGATACTTTATGAAGCTTTTTAAAAATTTGTCAAAATAGAAGAGACCATGCAGGTCGTAATAATATGCAAAAATATTTTGACAAAAAAAATATAGCCATGGTGTATACTAGCTTGGATCAAGAAGAGGAGCCACTCACATTACCCCAAGTGTTTGTGT